TATCTGTATCAGTTCTGAAGTTTACAGAGTTTGGATGTTTTTTATGTGTATAATTTCTTTAATAATACGTTTTTTATTGCTTTCTTGGTCCAAAATTTTAGGTTCTTGAAATTATACTGGTCATTTACTGAATGTAAATTTTAGACCAGGAAAGCAATTATAAAAAACGAATTATCAAAGAAATAATATATTTAAGAAATTTAGAATTTTTAAGGCAGAATAATTTTTGAGAAATTTTTATACATTGAGGCAAGTTTTCGCGGCATGATTATATCAACATGAAAAATCTGCAATCATCGCCTAAACCTGCTTTCAAAATTCAAAGATTCTAACAAAACCGTAATTATTCGTCCTTAAATAAGCTAAGAAACTAAATTCACATTAGGCGAAAAATAGGGAAGATGCCAATGTGGAACCCATGTTGGAGAACGAAACCAACACGTCACCGAAGTCATTCACACTAAAAAACTCGAAGCAACTATAACTGAAAACCATCAACCACTAAATTAAAACGTATTTTACACAATCAAATGAAAATCGAATAAGGATTAGGGCTAAATACCTTCACGTGTCGTTTGTATTTATGAACAGCAAAAATGGTAGGATGTCGGTTCCTCGAAGGCGGAAGACAAAATGAAACGAGCCGGATGATCCATAGATGAAAATTCTTTTTATTTCTAGGGCACATTGATAATGGATTTTAAGCGAAGCATCTTGAGTTAAAGGTTGTTATTATTCATTTAAATTTCAAATAATTTTAAATACTGCTACACGTTCTTCAAATAGGCAACCCATTGTACTGCGCAGTATTCTTGTCGTTAGTGCAGCAGTACACACTTAATGTATACTACATTTTGGTACTTTCAGCTTGCTTAACAAAGGAGAAATTAACTTATCAAAAAATTAATACCATTTTAAATGCGGGGTTGAAGGTGCATCCTGGCGTTTGCCAATTATAAAATTCTATTCACCTTTGACTCACAACAACATTGATACATTTTGTTAGTTTAAGTTCGTTTAGACAGGGAGAAATTAAATTATCAAAAACTAAAAACGTTATTAAATTGGGTTTGAAAGTGTAGCCCGCTACAACCTGTAATACATTTTGGTACTTGCAACTCGTTTAGAGAGAAATCAATGTATCACAAAATTAAAATGATATTTTTAAACTGGGGAGTAAAAGTGCAGCTTGGTGATTTCCAACTATCAAATTCTTTTCACTGATGCCCCATAACGACATTGGTACATTTTAGTATACGACCCAAAACTCAAATATTTTAACTTCATTATTTTATCGTAGAATGGGTTGCCTATAGAAAGTGCGACAATTCTGTTTTAATTTTGAAAATACGAAATCATATTCCTAAAGCGCGTTTTTTAAAGGAAATTATTAATGAATATCTTCCTAATATATAGAAAATGTGTAAAGCGGAATACTTCATAAAGAACTAGAAAACAACAGAATTTCTTATGTCTACATATTACTAAACTTTAAAAACATTGAGATTTCTGTTTCTTACCAATTCCAAATCACAATGNCATGACATCAATTGATATCTAGAAAAATAGAAAAAATATGTTTGTAATAATTTTATCAATCTGCAATAGCTTTATTAATATATTATAATTAGCATATAAAATACACAAGAATATTCTTAGCATTAAATTAGTTATTTTTATTTTATGTTCAATATAAATACATGAATTAAAAGTACATTTTTAAAAACAAACACTATTCACCTGAAAATAGCTTTATTATTTTACTTACACTATAATAAATATAGCGTTCTGCATAAATCTCTACAAATAACAATTAAATTGTATTTCTCTATTGCATTTGCAGTGTGGATAAATCTCGAAAGAATGTTTCAAGCTGCATCAGCTTGTGGAATGCCAAACTGAATTGGAATCACTCTTTCATGTTCAATCCTATCAGGCATTTCAATCAACAATATACCATCAGTTGATAGAGTACATTCGATTCTATTAGTATCACTATTTTCAGGAATGTCATACTTTCTTATAAAATGCCTTGATACATAGCCTTGGCCATCTTCCTTCTCATTGTGCTGACCTTCGACAATCAAAACCCTATTTTCTACCTTCACATTTATTTCATTAGGTTGAAACTGTTGCACATCCAACTGGACTCTCAAATAATTTCCATTATGGATTAAGTTGGATCCAGAATCATCCTGTGATGCAACATTCTGCCAATGTCTTAGATACCCAGCAGGGCATCTTATTAAATTAAATAAATTTCGTTCTAGAACATTCCTGGAACCTAATTCCAAACCAAAGTGCTGTCCAAGGGAGGACTGAGGGACGAAGTAGTAGGGTAGAAGAGCTGGCATTTTCGTGTATTTACCAAAAGCACAATGACTAAAAATGAAGAATAACGAACACACTAAGTTATTTATTATTTAATCAATGAATTACATGCAGTCAAATTGCACCACAACGTTGCAATCAAACGAATGACAAATGCATTACACCACAGTCAATAAAAAAAAATACAACTAGGTACACAACGAACAGCTGTTATTGTTTTCGTTTGCTTTGCCAATCAATTCAAATGTCATCAACTATCCCCACTCTTTTCTTCTAGCAAGTGCTATAGACAGTGGCGTAACTTCAACAACATCCAAAGGGATTATAGAAATATACTATAAAATTATAATAGTTAAGTATAAGTGGTACTAAAAATTAAAAAAAAGCATGCACTTTCGTTTACAGTTTATTCAAAATATTTTAATTACATTAACACATTAAACAAATTTTTAAAATTAATGATCAGTCTTACTGAACGAATTTAATAATAACATAACTTCATAAGTAATTTGGAAAATATATCTACTTCTTCTTCTTCTCTTTGGACTTGGACTTATCTTCAACAGCTTTCGCGGGTTGGCCAGTTTGCTGGATAGGAACAACCTTTTCATCCCCTTCCAACGCTTCTTTCCTGGGAACCGTGATCTGCAGTACCCCGTCCGAAGACATTTTTGATTCTACCTTCTCCAATTCCAATCCTCTTGGCAAAACGTACCTTCTAACAAAATGTCTGGAGACTGTTCCACCATTCTCCTCTTTCTCTTCATGATTTCCTTCGATGGTAATGCTATTTTGACCGGCGGTCACCTTGATCTCATCCGGTTTAAACTGCTGAACGTCGAGACTTACTTCGTACTTGTCTTTGTCGAATTTTACAGTGGATCCCAGATCTTTATCCGCTGCTAAGGTCCTCCAGGGTCTCAAATAACCAGAGATCAGGTTCTTCACGGGCCTGGATAGCGTCATAGGCGCCAGGAGATCCTCTGGATCCAGCTCGACTCCAAAATGTTGATCAAGGAGTCGAGATGGTCTCAATAAGTTGTCCCACGGATCATTCAAAAAATATGGCAGAAGAGACATTATTCTTGATAAAATATGGATATTTCACACAATAAATAAGCACTAATAATTACACCGTCACACTTTTTTAATCGCTTTCTGAACCGCTTCTGTACTCTGTCGCTACTCAACTGAGTCTGAGTCCGCACGCGAATTCCGATTGCTTTTATATACGCCAGCTAATCTTTCTGGAAGATTCTAGCAACAGACAAGTCCCCAAAATAATGTATAAAAGGAATGTTCTGGTGTTTACGGGATCTTACGTATCATTCATGGGATATTATCACTTTATTTACACATTACTCTAACAGTTTTAATATTTATTTCGTTTTTTTTTTTTTCTTTAGTCATTAACCAAACCCAAAGTGCATATGTACTACATATCTCTGCTGATAGTAACTAATGTATTAACAATAAATCTTGCAATACGACTCGATATTGAAAAATCCATAGTAAAAAATAGTACACTGTATTAAGCTTTATTGTCTCCACGTATTGGGAAAATTTAATGCATTATACGAAATGCACAGATTTTATTGGACATTATATATAGATATGTAGTACATACACAATGTCTACAATCCTTGATAAAGTGATTAGGTCTGATGAACGTACGAATAATATTTGATTTAGTTTTTTCTAGAATATTCAATAAAAATTTTCCAATAGAGTACAAATTAAAGACTTATTTGAAAAGAAAAATGTCCTCAAAAATGTATAAAATTATCCAATACAAATTACAACACAAAAGTAAGAAAAACACATACATATCTGCATGTTTGTAATGTAATTTGTAAAATTTACAATTTACTAGGTATTGGTGATGAAAATTAATTTCTAATACAGATAAGGTAAATATTGAATTTCAAAAACGACAGAAATCAAAAAGTTGAAAATTTAATTTCCTACAAAGTTGTTATTTTAACGAAACGGTACACATTTCCAGATTTTTCTTGTGGAAAAGTTACATCTTTTTGACGCATACACACCATGTAATAAGCATTTTTGGCTTTCAGCGTCGATATTATCAAAAAAACACGTCAGTTTTAATGACAGCTAATCAAATTCCAAAAATGCCATAAGGCATTATAATCCAAGAAACTGTATCGTTAGACCTTATTTTATCTTTACTTTTTTAGGCTTTTTTACCGAAAAAATTCCAGTAACATGTACAAAACGTGGAAATATTAATGTCCATTGTACGTACATACAAAATTAATTTGAAATGCCTTTTTTGACTTTTAACCCGCTTCGGAATTATCGTCTCTGGTACAAACTTTTTCATAGTGCGATCAGGCCAAAAATATTCGATCCGCTGGCCTTGACAAGCAGGACAACTCAATTTATACCAAGCACGATTTACTTAATGAAAAATCAACAAGGGAGAGAAGTAAGCACCGAAAAAATTACAACACAAGGCAGGGATGTAACGATAACCGTTGACGTGACAAAATTTAAGTTCGAAGAATTGAATGTTATTTTATCCGGAAACGTCATTATAGTAGAAGGACTGCACGAAGAAAAGATTGACGATCAAAAATCTGCCTTTACATATTTCATGAAGCAATTTCTACTATCCGACGATCACGATTTGGACAAAGTGAAACCGATTTACGCGAAGAACGGAACACTCAGAATACTGGCCCCCAAAAGAGGCGAAGCTGGTCAGGAATTAACTGTGCAAACAATTAAATTGGGTCCCCCAAAAATACTTAAAATAGAAAAGGAATAATTCCCGGTAGATTAATTTCTTCGTCATTCAGTTAACCAAAATCATTTTACGATAAATAACATTTCAAATCAATACTATGTCAACGAATTTTATTTTTCGTTTGTCCCTATGCCGAAAAACTATAGATGCGATGCTATGAATGTATGTAAGCATATACACAATGGTCTACAATATTTTTTATATGTGCCTGGCCTATTTTTTATTAAATAAATTATACTATCTATAGGAAATACTGGAGTGTTTTAGAATTTACAAAAACCTAATTAGAAAAAGTTGTGAAATATTATTGCCGTTTATGTACTTTAAGTAAACACTTTTTTCTGGAATTTTACCTCTTTAAAATTACCTTAGACATCTAATAAAACATTCGTAATAAATCAACGAAAACACCTCTTCCAAACTGAGTATTTTTTTAAAGCGAGTTAATGTTTTAACTTTTCGTTTAGAAACGAAAATTGAAGATAAAAAGTTCTAGAACTTTTTTTTCTACTAACGACTTCCTCTCTTCGCATAATTAAATTAACAAAAAACAAAACAGTTATACTAAAGATATTTATTTTTATTTACCTGTAGCTACATGAACATAAGTATATACACACATACAAATAAATAATGGCATTAACAAAACGTATATAAAATTAATCTAAAGATCTATTACAAAACAGTCTTAATTAAGAAATATGACACAGTTGAATTAAATTTATTTTGGCGGTTCTTCTGTGCTGTTTTCGTTAGATTTTTGATTATCAATTTCTGCTGGGCGGCTGGGTTTTCCGGTCTGAGTTATTGAAATTTTCCTCTCGTCGGTCAATTCTTTTTCGAGTTTGGGAGCCGAAATTGTCAACACTCCATCCGAAGACAGTTCCGAAGAAAGTTCTTGGATGTTAAACTGCTTGGGCAGGATGTATTTTCGCACAAAATGCCTCGAAATTGATCCATGTTCGTCCTGTTTCTCTTCGTGTTTCCCCTCGACGGTAATTGTATCTTTATCATTCGTAGTTACGCTGATCTCTTCCGGTTTGAACTGTTGGACGTCCAGATTTATCAGGAATTTACCGTCGCTTTCGCTGATCGTCGAACCCACGTCTTTAGCTGACAAACCCGACCGCCACGGTCTGTAATACAACCCTCGATTAAACATCGAACATTTGGGATCGATAACTGCGCTGATCAAATCCTCAGGTGTTAGTTCTTGGGCAAACTGTTGATCCAGAAGTCGGGATGGTCGGTAACTGAAGGGATCCGACATCAGCAACGGAAGCAGCGAATATGTTAACAACGACATTTTTTTTTTTTAACACTGCAGATTCAGGAACGCACTGTACAATATACAATCGCTTTAAGAATATCGCTCTGTTTGTCACTTCGCGCTTTGAAACTATACACTGAGGCGGACGGCCATCGCGCTTCTCATTTATAGCGCCGGAGAACTTACTAGAACCCTCTCGAAAATGAGGGAACATTCCGAGTGGATATAACGTACTTTTATGGAGGTATTTTCGGAAGTTGATATTAAACATGAGACTTGTTACAAAATGGAAAATTATTGGCATTTTCGCTATTCACAAAACAATGGAAATTTGTGGATTTTGATTTGATCGTTTTATACTATCTACGAATAAAATATATCTACCAATTTGATCCCTTATTTTCGTATTTTGAAATTATTCATTAAAAAAAAAATATTTAATACAGAAGTGACTGGAACCCTCTGGAATATGATGGAACATTATTCGTTCCCCATTAATATTATGAACGAGCCTGATAAGCTTTTATCTTTTAACGATAACAATAAAATTTAATAAAATATTTCAACTTGATCGGAAATACTTAACCATTGTTTAATGAAATGAAGAATTACTCAAATTTTCACAACTTATGAATAATGGAACTATTATTTTTGGCGATTTTTGGTGCCTATCTATGTACAGTATGCCTTTATACTTTTCATTATTTACCTACCTATGTACAGTGTATGTATTGTAACAGCTGCTTCGGTAACACTACATTGAAACAGCTGCTCCATTACAGATACATAAAAGAATACCGAAAATATAGTACCAAAACTAAAGATTCGTTGTTTTTATTGGGCATTGTATAAATTAGGTACCATGAGAGGCATTAACTGTCATTAAAAAAATCAGGTAGCGTACAATTTATGTAAGTTGGTAGTTAATTTGAAAATAGGTACTTATATAGGCATTTTTTTCTTTTTTTTTTTAATTGATGGGCGTTGGTGTAATTAGAACCCTAAAAGCCATGTCAGTGGCAGAGCTGGCAACCTCGCGTTCATTGATTGCACTTTCGCGACCAGCGACCTATACCAACAACAAATTCCTAATGCAGCCAGGAACAGAAATGATAAATATATAAATAACGCCCAATTTTTTCACTACCATGAAAATGTAATAATACAGAATAGGTAGATAGATACTTATGTTCTTATCCATAATTACCTACCTACCTATACATACTAGGCATGTAGGTAGGTACCTAAACGTTTGGCTATGACAAAAACATGTACATGTTGATCTTTACATTTACAAATCCTGAGCTTTAGCCTTCTGTTGCTATGGCAATTTAACAGACCTTGAACTCATCGAAGGTGAATTTCAAACTGTATACCAAATAAATTTTAAAGGCTGGGATAGATCTTTTAAATTATTACACGTAAGGCTTTAATTAAATCTATTTCATAAGTAGGTACCATTATTCCAAATTAGATATGTTGCAGAAATACTTAAATAAATTAAAATTATTCCTCTACCAAGTTTATATTTTGGCATTTTAAATTAAATACCTTCATGGGTACCATGTAAGTAGATACCCAAGTAAGAAATTTGCTGGAATTTTTCAAATTTGCTTTGCATTATGAAATGATAACAATAATAGACACAATATCTACCTACATGCTTCTGCTAAATTTAAATCAGGGTTCACACAGTGTATTTTTTATACGTAGCAATCATAGTTTATTTTTCGAAAAATTGTTATTAACAACATCATTACAGCCAAAAGAAATAGGTAAATCTTTTTGTATAAAATGAAGCAAATTACTTGGGGCAAAAGTGCAAAAAGATGTACCTATATTTAAATGCATAAATAGAATGCAATTTATTTATTAATACTTTAAAAATAATATTTACTTTCCTCAAAGGGTTAATGACAGTGTAACGATTTATTACGCCGGCTAGCGACAATTGCAAAGGAAAATGGCTGAATTGACCAATCACGTTTGAGCATTCTACCGATTCTGGAATACGATTGGCTGGAAAGTCCTGGAAAAATCTAGAAGGTAGGGTGTTTATAAATAGACGTGGAAACGACAACCGGCGTATTTCCAATTGAGCTAGCGAGTTGTACGAGTCGTTCTTTGATAAAACGAAATTCAGATAAATTAGTGAAGATGTCTATCCTGCCATTACTGCTCTCTGATCCCTTCGATGTACGCCCATCAAGAATTCTGGATCAACACTTTGGTTTGGGGCTGGATCCCGAAGACCTACTGGCACCCCTAACTCTGCCCTTAGGAACCCGCTTAGTACATAGAAGTCCTGCAGGATACTACAGACCCTGGCGTTCTCAAGCAGCAAATGCTGACAGCGGTTCTATCGTTACAACTGATAAGGACAAGTTCCAGGTGAATTTAGATGTACAACATTTTAAACCAGACGAAATTAAAGTTACTGCCACTGGGGATAATACTATAACCATCGAGGGAAAGCATGAAGAAAAGCAAGACGACCACGGCTACATTTCCAGGCATTTTGTAAGAAGATATGTCCTGCCCGAGGGTCATGACCTGAATCAAGTGGTGTCCAATCTGTCATCAGATGGGGTGTTGAGCATCACCGCACCTAAGAAATCGCAGGAAGGAAAAGAGGAGAGAGCCATTCCAATTCAACAGACCGGTCAACCCAGCAAACCGATTGAAAATAAGGGAACCGGCGATAAGTAGTCAGTTTTTTTTATTTCGTCCTATATAGTATTGTTCTATGGCGTTCTTGAATTTTTTTGTATTCGTCTTAAGACTGATTTTGTTTGTAGTCTACTTGTAAGCTATTTGTTTAATTCAAAAATACGAATATTGTTACTTGCTTAATATTCATTTGTAATGTTTTTCATCTTCACAAAATAAAAAATAAATGTTCACATTGAAACGCTGACTTTTTTTAATAAAATAGTAGAGTAAGTACTGTTGAAGTATGAATCAAAGACGATAAAACTTGTATAAGAACAAAATATGTTGATCACCTACCTTTTGTATGCTGCATCTCCAACATGAAAATTGCTTCCTGGAGCTGAAGTTGGATTTCAAACCGCTCCTAGTAGTGACTGCAATTTTCTTTTCACGATTTTATTCCCGAAAGCTACGTGTTCTTCGTTTCATAGTTATTGAGAATAAATCCTAAAAAGTTTATATCTTTCCGTTACACATTTGCTAAAGTGAGGTTAAGTTAATTTATACGTTTGACTAATTAGAACGTCGTTTTTCATTTGATGAATTATTTACCGAAGTACAATAGTGAAAAGGAGCAATCATAAATCATAATTGTATCATTATTTTAAATAATATCACTTTTTTATATTAAATATCGAACGCGATGTACACATGCATATAGACGCCGAAAAACAGTGAAACAGTACAGAACATATGCAACACACCTTACAAGCATGAGATGAGAATTACATAACAGCTGGACCTTCAGCATAAATTTCAAATGAGTGATAAGCATAATAGAGTGACCCTTAACACTGCCAAAATGAGAGCTTCAGTAAAAATAATTTTATAACCCTCTCGATATTTGATAATGAAGACAAATATTTATGAAAAACACATTTTTGCTGTAATTTTAGTACCTCAAATGGAAGTATATCACCAGAGGAAATACTTACTTAAAGAAAAATTAACTTATTCCGACAATAGGGGAGAGATATCCTGCAGGACAATTCATTATGCTTATTAAACTTTTAAAGTAATTAGAAATGAATCCAGGAAGGTAGTTTCAAGGAAATTTAAAACGAAGTTAATTGAGAGATTTTAAATTTTTTTACTGTGTAACTGATACACACTGTATGTACAACGGTAGGATATTTCAAAGAAAAACTTGTGAACGTTTGTATAAAATAAAAGTATAGATACAAGTACAATAAAGAATAAAATATTAACGATACATTTTTTGTCTACTAGACATGACTGAAACAACTACGTCTTATCACAATGTCCGCGTTATTATATCATCGCTCACACTCAATATAAATAAGTAACATGCATTTATTAATTTTTTTTCTTATTTGCAAGTTCTCGGACATTTTAGCGTGTTCTATAACTGCAGCACTGATTCGTACAATATTATTATTAATTATACTACAATCTTACATTTTTTTCCAAGCCCTGATGAAGGGAAATAAATATTCGGATCATTTTCGAAAAAGAATAAATAAGGCGCAAACAAGACAAAAGTCCTTATGATAACATTACATCATAGTGAACAAATTACAGTGGATTATCTTTATTGTATTTACCTTGAATTTTTGTTGAATTTTTTTTTCATAAGCCATCTACTATATTCTATTCTACGAATGTAATCAACGAAAACCTTTTCATACAGTTTTTTTTTAATTACCATCAAAACAAAAGACTAGTTATAATACAAGTCAATTAAACATATTGTTCTTATATAAACGCCACTATCGGATTATCAAAAATTTCTAAATTTTGGAAAATACTTTCAATTAGAGCACGTTTCAGTTGATCACATCCAATTTTGGCTGTTTTGAAACCGAATAATGTTCAGAATAAATTCACAATAATATAAATAACAACTGTCGACTTGAGACATGAGAAAATTCCTCATTTATTCTGTACAGAGCGAATAAACAAAACCTCAGCTTGTTCAAGCGTTTTGCGTTTTATGTATTAACTATATCCATTATTGTGGTCGCTAAGCTATGTACAATCAATTTTTATTTAATACAACTTAAATACTATTCATCATTTCGACTGATGACGAACAAACCGAGGTTTTCGTTCAAAAAATTATCCAGATAAAACAAGCACATCGTTTAACAAAATAAAGGTTTCGCAGCAATAGTGATTATCATTAATTACAACAATACTCGGTCAATATTTTCTTGCTTTTTTAGCTGAAATATGTACACACGTTATTTACTATCAGCATCGATACTATTTATCAAAGAAAACGAAACGAATTTATTATCAGGCAGAAACGAAATTGTAAATGAAACGAAAGAAAAATAAAAAAGATTCCTAACAATTTTAATAATTTCAAATTTTTGTTCCTCTGTCGTACGAAAAACGGATGCAGTGTTACTTTCATTCCTCTAAGCCTGTTTCTTTTCCTATTAGTTAAAAACAATGAAAAGAAAACAAGTGTCATGTCTTTTCCTTTTTGAAAACCCTCCAAAATATATACCTCAAAATAGTTGGTCGTAAAAATTCAAAATTATTATGTATTTCAAAATAAAGATAAAAACCAATTTCTAAAGGCATGACTTCAAAAATATAAACGAAAAATCACAGTAACAGTTACTACACACTACTTAACTATAATGCTACTAGTAAGCAGGCTCTTTACAATAAATAAATATTTTAGTTTATTTGGAAATGAGAAAACTGGCCAGTATTCTTGATGTTAATAAAAAATACCTACCAATTAAAAATTTCAAACAAAACAACTTTAAATCCAATAAAATTAAAATCAGTCACTTACTGTTCAAATATAAAAAGCAATACAAGAAAAAAGTATATAACTTATTTTAAAAATTACTGACAAGCAGTGAAGTTGCTCAACAGTTTATAAATTGAAAATAGTTCTTATTGGCAGTGTTTATTTAAAAATCAATCAATAACAAACGTTTAAAAAATTAAGCAGATAATTAATGAAAATAGGGAAAAAATCCTCTACGACTGTAAAATAAAAAAAAAAATACTGGGCCCCAGTTTTCTCTAATCAATTTATACATCATATTTGGCTCTCGAAAGGAATAAAATTAATAAATATGAGACTTCGTGCTTTTCATTCCATCTATAATAATCAATTGAGGGGGTTGCAAAATTGGGGACAATCTTGTCACGCATATGCTGCAGTTAATAACAATAACAACTCGGACGAGAGGAAAATTCAATTTATATAAATAGTAGCATAAGTGTATGTATGTATTTATTTATGTATGCATGTATGTATGTATGTATTTCTAGTAGTAGTAGTAGTAGTAGTAGTAGTAGAGCCTAGTAGTGACAGCAATAGTAGTAGTAGTAGTTATTAATAGTAGGGCAGCAGTAATACGACGACTGCAACGTTACCACTGCAATTTTTCATATTACTCCTCAATTTTGGTTTAAACATTCTTTTTTACTTAATCGAATCCAAAAACGTATCGTCGGAACTACGATGTGATGGTGGCGTGATATTAATTACGAACGGCATGGGAAAGTTTTGGTTGATTGCGTAGAGTAGGTAGGTGGTAGGTAGGTATCGTTTTTTTTTTTCATTTATATATGTATTTTATACATATTGTAATGTTATAAATGTTTATTCATTATAGTACACTTACTTTTTACTGCAAGTAGCGGGAAGCCGTAGTATTTAGTAGACTTGATACAAGCGACACAGGAAAGACAGCAGAAGGGAGGACGGGAAGGGTTAAGGGCTGGCTGCTTGCTTTCTGACTGGAAATCGATCGTGAATATGAAATTTACAGGTTACTAAGACCATAAATTTTTTCCATTTTCTTCGTTTTAATTAATATCTTTTATTGCGTGTCCTTGTACGTTTATTCTTTCTTCTTTTGCAGGCTCAGGTTGCTTTTCTTTCTTTCTTTCTTTCTCTATCTCTCACTCATATTTTATATATATATTATATATATATATGTAATTAAT